GGCAGCCAACACACAACAAAACAACCCATGATAGCGGCGAGAGTACGTGCCAGGCGACGCTCCTTCGTTAGAGATATTCTGTGTTTGTCCTCGAGGAACTTCTTGAAGGTGTTGGTGGAGTCATGCCTCGGGCCACTCACAGAGTTTTCCTGAGGGTTGTCCTGTTGACTGTTTTGGTTTGTGGGTTTATGGTCGGTGAAGGATGTTTCTACCTGACGTGGAGTACCAGTAGAGGAGAAAGGTAGACTTCTGTCTCTTGATCCCGTGAGCTTCGTTTTGAGGGTTTTCCATAAAGAAACTGTGTCGCATTCTGGAGTATCAGCCACCGTCTTACCGTTGCAAGAGTTGCTCTGTTTACGAAGTCTTTGCAGGTTGGCTTTGTAAATCTTAATGTACATGATTGACATAAAGACCAGCGGACAGAAGAATGATCCAAGAGAAGAGTAGAGTATGAAGCCTTTCTCTTCACTGAGAGCACATGGCGTCTCTTCCACAAATGTGTCCGGCCAGTCATTCCAACCCAAGAGAGGTGGAAGACTGATGGCGAAGCTGAGGCCCCACACCAAACCGATCATGATCAGCACACGCTTCAGGGTGCGCTTCTGGGCGTAGATGATGGGGTCGGTGATGGCCCAGTACCGGTCGAGGGCAATGGCACACAGGTTGAGGATGGACGCTGTGCAACACATGATGTCACAGGTAAGCCACATCTCGCACAGGTGGATCCCGAATATCCACTTGCCGATGATGCTGTAGGCGACATTGAAGGGCAGCACGAACACCGCCACCGTCAAGTCGGCCACAGCCAAGGAGACGATGAAGAAGTTCTGCACGATCCTCAGCGGCCGATAAGTGAACACAGACAGGATGACGAGGACGTTGCCGACGATGGTGAAGATGATGATGACGCTTAAAATGATAACCATAAAAATATTGTCTAGATCCCACTCATTACTATCTGTATCTACACTACTCGACGTAAAGTTCAGTCCCGACATGTCTCTATAAACCTCACAGAGTCTACCCCTCGAGAATAGAGCCAATAAATATATGTCTCTGTCTTAGTATTGGTTCAACACTACAAAATCCCATCGTCATTGAGTCATATTTTTTTTTTTTGACCAGCCTTTGTAAACATGATCCCACTTCCATATTCTTACTACCAGAAAACAAATGATGTTAGTTCCTGGTGACCTTGTGTTCTTGGGTCCTGCTGTACACTATGAAGTCTATCAGGATATTTGGTCTCCGAAATACGAGTGACCAAAGGTGTTGTGAGTGTACTGTGTATCCCTAAGCACCATGAGGGTATACGAGACATAATTTCACAAACAATAAATTCTGTATATTCTGGGATATTTCTCAGTGGCTAACTCTAACCCTCTTTTTTCCCTTGGTCACACACAGATGAGGTGTTCCCATGATCTGTGAGAGAACTGTCTTCCTCCAGGGTAAACAATCTGAAAGGATAAGGATATTATTTGTATATAGAACCTTTGGCTGAATTTTAAACACGTGATAGAGTGAAACCTAACCTAACCCTAACCTAACCTAACCTAACCTAACCCTAACCCAACCAAACTTAACTTAACTTATTCTAACTTAACCAAACCTAATTGTACTGAATCTATCCTAACTTTGCCTAGCGTAACCTATCTAACTAACATAACTTAACCTAACATACCATATTAACCTAATTTAGCATAACTTAACCTATCTTTTTCAATGGTTACCTCTCATGTTCAAGGATGGTCGGCCCTAGAGCCACCTCGGCGTGAATTTGTTTAAGGTGTAGAAGCTGTCGCCAACACAACAACTACACCCTGAGTTAACGAGTTGCATGACCCAGTGTCAAGGAATAGTCTGAGAAGACCGGACAACTCGCCAACTAGTGCAGTTGGCGATCCGCAAATCAATTAACATCCAGGTCCCCAATTACTGCTGGGTAGACAGAGACAAATGGCGTAAAGAAACTTGCCCATAGTTTCACCCTGCCCGGGGATGGAACCCGGGTCCGCTCGCTTGCGAGGTCAGGTCAGGTCAAGTCAGGTCAGGTAAGGTCAGGTTAGGTTAGGTTAAATATCCACTAAATTAAAGGCAAATTAAATATAATTAAATTATTAAAGGTAAGTATAGAAATAAAGAATATGCTTACATTTTCCCCAAAGAAGTTAATGAATGAAAGACAAAGAGACAAGAGAAGAGAAGAGAAGAGAAGAGAAGAGAAGAGAAGAGAAGAGAAGAGAAGAGAAGAGAAGAGAAGAGAAGAGAAGAGAAGAGAAGAGAAGAGAAAAAATGAAATCACGCCTAAGCCTCGAGAAACACCACTTTTAACCGTGCGATGGAAAAATCTGAGAACGAAGGAAGACGTTTGATAGACGGGAATACCTGGAAGACGGTGATGAACGAGGCACAGGTGACAAGCGAAGAAACAGACGAAGAAGAACGGCCCGAGGAGGAAATCATCTTCCACGATTCCTCTTCAGCCAACTGGGAACACCTATGATAAAATATTCCTTCACTATGGGAGAGGTGAATTGGTGGTGGGTAGGTGAATGGACAGGTGAATGACAGGTGAATGGACAGGTGATTGGACAGGTGAATGGACAGGAGGAGGATAGGTGAATGGACAGGTGAAGCACAGGTGAATGGACAGGTAGAAGACAGATGCATGGACAGGTGAAGCACAAGTGAATGGACAGGTAGAAGACAGATGAAAGACAGGTGCATGGACAGGTGAATGGACAGATGGATGACAGATGATTGAATAGGTGAATGGACAGGTAAAAAAAAGACTCCTATCCTTTTCCTCGTTACAGTTACTATCCCTAATACTATTTTTCTTTCTCACTATTCGTCTCCTTTATCACGTTTATTCCCCTTGTCTACCCCAGTCCCCTATCTTTCCAGGCAATCAAACTCCCTAACTCCCTCAAAACCCCTCGATTCTCAAAGCCAGTTTCCAATCCCTAGTCTCACCCGTAAGCCAAAATCCCTATCTCTCAAATTAAATCCCCCAATTCCAAATCCCAAAACCTCAAACGTCTTATCTCTATCAGTCAATTCCCAATTCACTAACTATTCCTTAACCCCTGATTCTAATAGCCAACTCCTGACTCTAAATAGCCAACTCCTGACTCTAAATAACCAACTCTAGACTCTAAATAACCAACTCCTGACTCTAAATAGCCAACTCCTGACTCTAAATAGCCAACTCCTGACTCTAAATAACCAACTCCAGACTCAAATAGCCAACTCCTGACTCTAAATAACCAACTCCAGACTCAAATAGCCACATCCAGACTCTAAATAGCCAACTCCTGACTCTAAATAACCAACTCCAGACTCAAATAGCCAACTCCTGACTCTAAATAACCAACTCCAGACTCAAATAGCCAACTCCTGACTCTAAATAACCAACTCCAGACTCCAGCCAACTCCTGACTCTAATAACCAACCCCCCTGATTCTAATAGCCAACCCCCCTTCACATAAAAGCCTACCCCCTGACCCCCATAGCAAACCCCCCTGACCTTAGTAACTAGCCCCTAGCCCTCTCACCCGCTCTATCTTATAAAACTAAGCTATTTTTCTCCTCCTTGCTCCCAGCTCCTCGGGGTATTGGTAGATACGGACCTATAGTTTATCGAGCCATAGGAGATCCCCAGTGGAGGAATCTTCTGCCCGCGTTGTGTGAGCCCTCCTCCCTCCCTCTCGGTCCCCCTCCTCCCACTCGGTCCCCCTCCTCCCTCTCGGTCCCACCTCCTCCCTCTCCATCAAACTAATCTTCTGAGAGATGATTTCCTTCCCACTCTCACCCAACCCAAAGTACAGGCATAAGGTAATAAAAAATAAATAGAAAAAAATTTAAAGAAAAAAGAAGAATTTGATTTGTATCCTGGAGGTCTTTGGTTAGTTTAGATTTGATTAATATATTTGTTTTTAATATTTTACAGTTGAATTAAGTATATGTCAAATTATCAAAAGAATTCTAATTTTTTTTTCACTCACCATATCATCTCCCAGGAAATTAATTAATAACGATAATCTACAAATGAAAAAAACAAACAAAAAAACATATATATATTTTCTGCATTGGCACAGGTTTCTCGGGAAAAATTCCTCCTCCGACACAGATTTGAATATTATGCAAATATTCCTCACGTCAGTCACTCTAGTGGCGGCAAACTTTACAGAGAAGGACGAGACCAGACTTATGTTAGCTCAGGGAAATTCGACACCGGGAGCCTGGATCACCATTATAAATATTTATTACTTAAATGATCTGTAGTAGTAGTAGTAGTAGTAGTAGCAGTAGTAAATGGCGGCGTAGGTGTGGTTATTATTATTATTAGTAGTAGTAGGAGTAGTAGAGGGGGAAGGAGAAGGGAGGGTGTATGTGGGTGGGCTAGTGAGAGGGGGGGGTGGGGGAGGTGTGGATGAGTATGAGAGGGAGGAAGAGGTGGGAGGGGGGAGTGGAACAGAAGGAGTTTGACTAAATTCTTGGGACATGGATTTAGAATAGGTTAGATTAGGTTAGGTTAGGTTAGGTTAGGTTAGGTTAAGGGGTAGTTTAACTTAACATAGATAGACAGATAGATAGATCGAAGCAAAAATGAAAAGGAAAAGAAAAAAAAACGATAAATAGTGAGACAGACAAAATAAAAGAAAGATGACGATTTAAAACACCAACAAAAAAATACAAATATAACGATAGAAAGATAGAATCCCACCTCCACCTGATGACTTAAACCAGACACTGTATATAAGACCACCCAACCCCTCCCACTAGGACCTGTGACAACCCGATGACACCACCTACAGGAGTAACACAGAAACGACGTAAATTAGGCGTGAGAGTGAAGGCTGGCTGAAAAGTTTTAGAGACATGACAAACACAGAGAGACCTACATAAATCTGTCTCACCCTCATGACGATAATTCATTTCTTCCCTGAGAGATAAAATTGTGTTTCGTGTGTGTGTGTGTGTGTGTGTGTGTGTGTGTGTGTGTGTGTGTGTGTGTTTACGTGTTTGATGAGTAAATGTATAAACTATACATAACCAATAACAGACCTAATTCTTAAAGCCACACTGACATAAGGAAATGGTCTCAAAATCAGACCAAACAAACAAACCTGTATGACTTACGACACCTAATGTATAAACTAACATATTATATACATATTTCACCTGTATTCCACGTTGTTAATGAGTCACCTGCACCTGACTATCATATATATGTGTCAAGGTTAATCACATCATATCAATAATTTCAAATCCATTTCTGATCTTTCGTGAATGTGTAGAGTCACGTGTACAATGGAGTCATATATATATATTGAGATTCTCATTTCTCTGTTATTATATTTAGTTAGTTAATCGTTTATGCCTTATGACACAATTGGACTGTTTTTGACGAATGTATAATTGTTTCATATATGGTAAAATCAACCCTAAAATATATTTCGCTATATTAACTAAACTTTAACTAAATTCTGTTAAATTAGGTTAAGTTTTGAGAAGGATAACTTAGTTTAGTCTACCCAGATGATAATACTTATCGTAGCTTAAAATTCTGAAGAAATTTTGTTAATATTATCTCTATTTTACAATTAACTTAACAAAGCAGGATGGACTCTGGTTAAATTATCGTACTCTAGGGGTTAAGTCACCGTACTCAAAGGGTTAAAGTTATCGTAGTAGAGGAGTTAAACCGTACTGTAAACCTGTTGAGTATTACTATGAAACAAATCCTTTCTCCTCCACCCAGGTATTCAAATTCGCAATCAAATTTATAACAAACAAGTGTGTCAGAATATTTTTTGAAAATTTACGGACCACTGATATTTATGTGGTTTCGATATGGCCATCAATAACGTCAATTGATTTATGAGAATAGAGATAACTGCAATTGCAATGGTGTGTGTGTGTGTGTGTGTGTGTGTGTGTGTGTGTGTGTGTGTGTGTGTGTGTGTGTGTGTGTGTGTAAGGAGAAAACCAATGTCATTTTAAAGGTCATTTTCAGATTCTTGAAATGTCAGCTTAATGCTTAAATAAAGAGTTTAAGAAATTTAGTGTAGTCTGCTCTGGTAAGGCTACATGAGAGAGAGAGAGAGAGAGAGAGAGAGAGAGAGAGAGAGAGAGAGAGAGTCTTGGTCCGTGTAGTAGATGTGCTGCTTAGTGAAGGAGAAGGTCTATTGGATCGATGTAGTTAATGTTAGGTGTGTGTGTGTGTGTGTGTGTGTATATGTGTGTGTGTGTGTGTGCATGTGGGGGGCTTTACACACACACACACACACAAACACACACACAAAATCTCCTCCTTCACACATATTACACATGCAATTTTCCACAATCGACCTTACACTAATTAATGACCAGACCATCGCCGACCAAAAACATTAGTGACAAAAGTTTTGGCTCATTTGCACGATCCTCCCAGGAGAGATTTCTACCAAGGACACGGCCCACTCAAGTCTCTCATTTTTTGGGGGGGGGGAGATAATGGCGCTTCGTGAGACATCCAAACTCTCTGTCTCTCTTGGTTTGTGTCTCATCCTGCGTCCTTCTCTTTCTTTGTATCTTTGGTTAGGTTAGGTTAGGTTAGGTTAGGTTAGGTTACCAATCCATAAATGATAGGGATTTTTAAACCCATAATAATTCGTTGTTGGGTTAAGTGAGATATAAGGTTTAACAAATCGATTTTCATGACTTAATTGTTCCCGAATAAAGATCTTAGTTGTTTTTTTTCACAGAAGCAAGATTATGTCAACACTTAATATCTTATAATCTGTAGAGAATATTTATTTTATACTAGACTGATTCTTTACATCCTAATAGTCATTTACATTCAGTTTACGGTCCATTAACTTTGTCATCGTTCCCCCACTGACACATCCCTTCTGGTCTTTACAAACAAGTACATAGATAATAATGATGGTTGGGCCTCCTGTAACGAGGATGGCCGGCCCAAGGGCCACCTAGGCGTGAATTTGTTTATGGTGTAGATGCTGTCGCCAACACAACAACCACACCCTGAGATAACGAGTTGCACGACCCAGTGTCAAGGTATAGTACGAGAAGACCGGACAACTCGCCAACTGCACTGGCTAACCATTACCCTGGAACACGATCCGCAAGTCGATTAACATCCAGGTCTCCAATTACTGCTGGGTAGACAGAGACAAATGGAATAAAGAAACTTGCCCATAGTTTCACCCTACCCGAGATCGAACCCGGGTCCACTCGCTTGCCAGGCGAGCATGCTGATCATTACACCACAGGTCTGAAAACAAGTAAATATCACCTGAAGATTAGGCATGTTATCTTATTGCACGTGAGAAATAAACTCCTTATCGCTAACCTAACCTAACGTTAAGATAACCTAATGTTATCTCGCGCTAACCTAAGCTAAACTAATGTAAAATAACCTTATCTAAAGCTAAGGTAAGAGAAATTAACCTAATCTAACGCAAACATAACATAACATAACATATAAAT